TATTTGAAAAAAAAATATTCGTTAAGAATAGAAAGGATAATAGACAACACTTCAGCATTGAGCGGGCATGCGTATACACAAGAACTGTTAAGTGGATCAAGTACGCAATGTCATGAGTTGATGCGTTTGTCACGTGATGCATACATATTATTATGCAATTACTTTAAAGAAAAAAATTGGTTGCATTCAAGTAGGTATATGAGCGTCGAAGAGAAAATGACCATATTTTTTACAATAATTGGTCACAATGAACGCTTTAGAATGGTTAAACGTAGATTTCAACACTCTACGCGAACCATAAATAAATGTTTTCATGAAGTACTAAAAGGAATGATGGAATTTACGATATAAGTCGTAGGGCCAACATCCTTTGATGGAACCCCAAACATGTTGGAGCGGTTTACACGACTCAAAGAAATATTTCCGGTATGTTTTGTCTTGATATACTGAATATTCTTAACATACATAAATACTTTATAATGTTTTATATTTCATAAAAAAGGGGGCTATAGGTGCGCTAGATGGAACTTTGGTACATGCGGTTGTGCTCGTTAGTCAACAAGCTAGGTATAGAGGAAGAGGAAGAGGAAGAGCAAAAGGTGAATGATATCAAAATGTTTTAGCGGTTTGTGATTTTAATATGATATTCACATTTGTTTAGGCTGGATGGGAAGGCATTGCACATGATTCTCAAGTTCTGATAGAAGTTGCATTTAACCCAACTTCAGGATTTCCGTTTCCTCCACCAAGTATGTTCCATTTTTTTTTCTTAACATTTAAACCTCGTTATGACTTACACTTTTAAATTGTATTTTGTGGTTGCAGGTAAATATTATCTTTGTGATGCCGCATATACCAATACTCGTGGATTTATGACCCTCTATCGCAATACAAGGTAATGGTTAGCAGATTTTCAACGCCGACGTGCCTTGACTAAGGAAGAACGGTTCAATCATGCTCATGCACAACTTAGAAATGTCATCGAGCGTGCATACGGGGTCTTGAAAGCAAGATTTCCAATTTTAAGACAAATGGCTCCTTACCCTTTCCCAATACAAAAAGATGTAGTGATTGCTTGTTTTGCAATTCATAATTTTATTAGGAGATGCAAGACTGTTTATGGAGTATGATGAAAACAACATGTTTACCATCTAAGAACAATATGAAGGAATCGAGGAAGATGTTGAAGAAACACAATGGGGTTCCCAAGGCAATGAATATATGTCTGATTTGCGTGATCAAATTGCAAATCAATTAATGTTGAATGCTTGAAATTAATATATGTAAGCGAACTATTTGTACGCAAACAATTATGTTAAAGACTTGTAATGACTTTTTGTTCGTTGTTGATGGTTTGTTGTTTCCTTTGTTGGTCCTTATTTTGGTCTTTTTTATTTTGGTGGTGGTTTTGCTTCTAGAAAATTTGAATTGTTGTTCTACATTATGAAAATCTGTAATATGTTAATATATTGAGTATCAATATATTTTCGTAAGCAAAAAAGAATTTAAAATTATATTTAAAAAATTTAATAAATAACATTTTATGTTAGCACTTAATACAATACATATGGTAAACAATAATTTTCAATCATCACTTACTCCAAAAAGAGAGATATAATGGTCTTTTTTACTCAATCAACACTTAATACAAAATGTTTGGTAAACAAGAAAATCAAATCAACACTTACTCCAGTCAGACCTCTTAAAAATTCCCTCGCTGATCCTTCGCTGAAAGTTCCCTCGCTGATCCGTCGCTGATCCGTCACTGAAAGTTCCATCGCTGATTCGTCGTTGATATATTCCCTCGCTGATCCGTCGCTGAAAGTATCCCTCGCAAATCCGTCGCTGATATCTTTCGCTGATAGCATTACCTATGAGCATTTGACCGACGGAGTATCAGCGCGGATCAGCAACGGATGACCCTTTTAGCGACGGATTTGCAAGAGAATTTTCCCTCGTTGATACTCTGCATTTTTGCAGTGCTTGTTTCACATTAATCTTTTAAGCTAACCTATACATACATAATATATATACATATACATACATAATATATACATATACATATATATATATATAGAGAGAGAGAGAGAGAAAGAGAGAGAGAAAGAGAGAAGGTGAGGGCATGCATTTCACATGGGTGATGAAAGAACGGTTGCTTCCCTCGTGAAGAAAGAAGCAATAATCAAAGAGAATAAAAAAAAGGAGAAATAAGATGAATTAAATATTTATTCAGACCCTATTAAATTAAAAGAGACTCTAAAAATAATAAAAAAACAAATAGTTTGAATTACAAAATGTCTGAATGAATTAAACGTAAATGATAATTAAAAGCTGAAAATAAAAAAACAAAACAAAACCTAAATACGTGCTTTCCATTCATAATTGTCATTTAAATTAACGAAATACATTTATTAGCATGACAACCTATATTCCAACAAATATAATGTTATATTCTCCTATTTATCTTTCTTTTAACCAATTTGTTTGATATCCTGGTATTTAAAATTTTGTAGTTGATCAACACATACCGTGTTTAAATTTATATTTGTTACATTTCACCTCAACAAAAATTTAAATAACCTTACAAACCAAATGAACTTTTTCGAAAAATTAAAACACATTTGTTGTGCATTTTCAAAATGAATATTATCACGATTAAGAATCAAAATCAGATAATTAGTTACAATAAAGTAAT